GATGGGGTGTTATGGAGTCACATCCATCAGTTTGATACTCTTAGGATCAAGGAAAAGTAGGCCTGGAAAAGACTTCATGAAATCAGCTAGTCCAGCCCTTTGCTCAAGGCAGAATCATGCCTGGACTAAACCATCCTAGTTAAGTGTCTGTCTAACTTGCTTTTGAAAAAAAAGAGTTGGTATTCCACAAGTTCCCTAGGTAGCCTGTTCCAATGCTCAACTATCATCATAGTGAGAAAGTGAGTAGAGATGGTGAAAATGAGAAAAAGAGCCTCCTAATCTCCGTCTTAAGTTATCTCTGCTGTAGTTTGAGCTCCTGGTTTTGTCCTCTACAGCCACAGAATGGCCTACTTCCATTTTCTTTGTAACTGCTCTTCAGGTATTAGAAGACTTGTTAAGTCCCTCCCTCAACTTCTCTTTTCCAGACTAAATAATCCTAGTTCTTTCAGCCTTTCCTTGTAAATCATGTTTTCCAGGCCTCTAATATTTTTTTGTTGCTTACTGCTGAACTCTTACCAAAATGTCCACATCTTTCTTGAAGTATGGGGCCAAAATTAGACCGTACTGTAGGTGAGGCCTCATCAGTGCCAAAGAGAACAGAAAAATAATATTTCTTCATTTGTAAGCAACATTCCTATTGATACAACAAAGTTGACTACTAGCTTTTTTGGAATGAGCACATAAATTTAGTTTATGGTCCATTGAAACACCAGTCCTTTTTCACTACACTGCAATATAGCTAATCATTCCTCCAATCTGTATTTGGGCAGGAAATTATTCCATTCTAAGTGTAGGGCTTTGAACTCAACCTTGCTGAATTTTATTCAGATTGATTTCTGACCATTTCTCTAGTTTATCTAGGTCATTCTGAATCCTAGCCCTGCCCTCCAGAATGTGAGCAATTCTACTCAAGTGGTTGTCAACCACAAATAAGATAAGTGTACACTCAATCCCATCTTCCAACTCACTGATTGTTTTCACTGCAAAGAATCACAAGCTAAAGATGAACAAACCAACTTGAAATAAAACTGGCTTGCAAAGTGTAAATCTGATGCCTTAAACTGTGCTACATAAAATACAGGAGACAACCAAGAACTGCACTATACAAGTGAATAAACAGTAGAAATTTGGCATAAACTTAACTGGAGCTATAGATAACATGCAGTTATTTTCCAACAGCTGAACATGAAAGGAAGCTTAACTCAGTAATGAATCTGCACTTTGGGGCCACTGAAGATTAGATATAATTCAAGTAAGGCCTTCAGTCCACTTTTAGGGTTGCTACAAGTACTGCTGTCAACTAGCAAATGACATCAGGGTCTCTTAAGAGAAATCTATTTCACCTTAGTAGCTATAACTCAAATACCTTGGTTTATTATCCCACTCCTAGGATATTGCTTGTTTAATTAATACAGAAAGGTCTTCCCTAATGAGGAATCCCATTTGGAGGCAGTAATGCCCAAATACATCCTTGCAAATCATGATTGACATTTGTCTGGGGGAAAAAAACCTGACACACCTGTATTAAACCCGACAGAAATATCCCCAAATCCTTGATTTGAGAGGTAGTTGGGTCTTAAGTCACTGTTAAAACAAATATAACAGAAGCTGTATTTTACATATCCCTACCTAACCTTGGAGTCACCCCTGGTGGAACTACTGAAGTATGCAATACAAGAGCCCCGCTATCCTGTAACCTGAAGAGAACTTAATACTGTTTAATTAAATCCATAAAAACAATCTTTTAAACTTGTGATGTTCAAATGAGTGTCTTCAGTAAATATTCAAAATACATGGTTGAAGACAAGAGTTCTGTTGGTTATTCAAAACCAGGCTTGTTTCCTACTGCTCCTTATTATCTTTAGGACCTGATACTTTTGACAGCACAGTCGTCCCCTCTCTGGATGCTGTACAATGGAATAGCTGTCTTGCAGCAGGATGAACAGTAGAAAATTATATACAGATGAACTTTCCTTAAGGACAACAATTAGCCAGATTTCTGTGCATGATATTTCTTATTCTAAGCACATGAAAATCCACGCATCTATACAGACACTAAGTGTAACTGTAGATAAAGTACTCTTACCCTCATCTCTTAAGGTAAAGCGACCCATTTGAGGGAAATCTTTGAATGTCTCAAGGCAGATGGTTCCTGCTGTCCTTAAACGAGCAATGCATACTTGATCTTGTTTCACAAAACGGGGTCGCGTCTTACTTTTTTCTCCTGTTTTTTTGTCTACCAAACAGATTAAGGCCTAGAAAAGGAAAAGAAAGTAATTATGTTAGTCAACATACTATTAAGATAATTAAGTTAGTTATTTGGTAAACACACTTGCTTATGTGACTACCCTGCAAATTTCTATAGTTAAAAAGCAACCCCCAAAAAACAAAAAAACCCTGTTATTTTTCCCTTAAGTTTTCCTTTCCTTTGGTGACATGTGAAAAAACCACAAATTATGAATAAAATAAACTTCTGGGAGGACAACTTGAAAGTGACATCCTCTTTTATTTTTGTTTTAATTTAGGCTAGAAAAATGTTCAGACTAAAATATGAAATTGTTTCCCCTTATGATTTGAAGCATACCAGCTTACATGACTTTCAAAGTATTTTTGTATCGACATTCCAGGTTAAAATAAGACTCACTGTTATCTCGACTTCTTCAATACAGGTGTGAATGTGCAGCACCGCGTTATAACCTGGGCAGATGATGGATTTGTGCTCAATTATCACTATCTGTAAATTACATAAAAATGAATAATCATTTTCTTCATGTAGCATGTCCTAAAGAAGCAAGCTAACCACATAAGGATTAATTCCCCAATGCATGTTTCCATCTAGAAACTTCACACAACAGGCATTATTACTGGAGAACACATTTCAGTAGAAAATGCAAAATCTAATTAGAGAACAAGGAAATTATCAAATAGTTTATAACATGGAAGAACACTGCACCACCAAAAAAATAACCGAACAGTATGAAAACAGAATTTTGCTTTAAGCTTAATGAATTCTAAAATCTCATTCAGGGTAAAATAGAGGTGCACTGATACATCATCAGTTCATACTGCATTGGCACTGATGCAAGGAAAATTGACATTAATCGGCATTTTTGGCTAATGTAGCTGATAATTTCACCAATAAGTGTGCATGTGCACAGCTGTAGTATGTACATGGCCAGGAGTGCAGCCTGGCAGCTTGGAGAGCAGCATCTGGCCAGTAAGCCTGTGGAGGTAGGGGAGGGAAGGGGTGTGGGGCAGGCAGATCGAGGCTCCTGCAATGAGGGAGGGAGTGGGGCAGGGGCACATACTGCACAGCTGGGGCAGGAGGTGGAGCTGTGGCTCTGGCTCATCTGGGCATGCATCCCCGGGGGAGGCACAGGGGACACGTGCCCCCCGGATCTGCGTAGGGTGAAGGTGGGCTGCCTGCTGCACGTTCGAGGCTGGGGCTGCACCGAATTCTGGGATGGCTATAGCCTACCCTGTAGCTCTCCTCCCAGCACCACTGCTGCTTGCTCTGTCTTGAGAGCAGCATGGGCCTGGGAAGAGCTCGGTGCAGCCCTGGCCCCGAGCATGCAGTGGGCAGCCCGCCCTAGCCCCGTGCACAGATCCGGGGGATACATGCCCCTCATACCTCCCCCAGGGGTGCGTGCAGTGGCGAGAGCTGCTCTTGCCCCCAGCCCGATGAGCCACGGCTGTCCCGTGCACCCCACCCTGACTGTAAAGCACCTGCCCCTGCCCCCAACCCCACTCCCTTCCTCCCCACAGGGGCCTCAATCTACCCCCCGCCCCCCTTCCTGCCCGACTTACCAGCTGGACACTGCTCTCCAAACTGCTGGGCTGCATATTGGCAATCAGATTGGTATCGGACGATATGGCTGGTTAATTATTGGCCATCTGCACTGGCCCACAATATCTTTATTGTTGCATCCCTAGGGTAAAACCTGTCCTAAGAATAAGGTCTACAACCTGATCATGACTGAGTAGTGTTTAAATCTTGGATTTAGATTTATGAAGTCATAATGTATGTATGCATGTGTAAGATCTATATAGAAATGTCACTTTTGAGAAATGCTCTTATATTATCATATCAGTTGTGAAAAAAAAGTAAATTTAAAACAACAGGAAAATTTGTTTTAAACTAAAAGATAAAATATAATGTATGTAAAATATCCTTGGTCTTAATATAATGTATGTATATAATATTACCTATGTTTAAGATATATTTTTAAATATTGCTTGCATTAAAACCTACCCAATTATAAGAATAAAATAAATCTGTGTCTGTATCCAAACACCACAGGGGATTGTCCTTCTTCAGTTATTAGTGATACATACCCATTACTTATGCACAATATTAAGATTACATACAATTAGACATTACTACAGACCACCCAACCAAGGGGAAGAGCTAGACCGCTCTAGGTCAGCTCATGGAGGTAATTAGGTCAAAGGACGTGGTCATCGTGGGTGACCTGAACTTTCCAGACATCTGCTGGGAAGAGCAGTCAGCTAGGTCTGACCGCTCGCGTTGGTTCCTAGCCGAGATACAGCCCCACCAGGGGAGACGCCTTGTTGGATCTGGTACTGGCCAAAGGCGATGACCTGGTGAGGGGTCTGCAGGTGCTCGACCACCTGGGCGACAGTGATCATCGCCTGCTGGAATTCACCATCCAGCACAAGGTGGCAAAGGCCTGCAGCAAGGCAGCAGCCCTGGACTTCAGGAGGGCAGATTTCAATGAGGTAAGGAGAATAGTTGGGGAGGCACTGAGGTCCTGGAGGAGAGAGGAGTCGAGTGTCCAAGAAGAGTGGTTGTTCCTTAAGGAGACGATCCTCCAAGCCTGAAAGGAGGTAATCCCAGCACGGATCAAAGGGGGCAAGAGGGCGCAAAAGCCCCCATGGCACACCAAAAGCATACAGGAACGTCTCCTAGCTAAAAAGGAGGTGTACACTCAATGGAAGGAAGGGGCCACCACCAGGGAGGACTATACCTTGGTTGCTTAGGGCTGTAGGGGGGCAGTCAGGAAGGCCAAGGTGGAGATGGAACTGGGACTGGGACTAGCTACCCAGATCAAGGACAACAAGAATTCCTTTTTTAAATACGTAGAGGGTAAAAAGAAGGTACCGGGTAACATGGGGCCTCTGCAGGACACACTAGAAAATCTGGCTGTCACACCAGACAACAAAGCTAACCTATTTAACAATTTCTTTGCCTCCATTTTTCTGAGCAGGGACCAGGTGTGTCCCCCCCCGGGACCTCCATAGACCCCAGGGGAGGCGCACCCAGGCCTAGGGTCTGTGAGGACCTAGTCAGGGAACTTCTGGAGGGACTGGACATATTTAAATCAGCAGGTTCTGATGATCTCCATCCCAGAGTGCTGAGGGAATTAGCAGAGGTCATTACATGACCCCTGGCACAGCTTTACGAGCACTCATGGTGCTCTGGCATGGTGCCAGAGGACTGGAAAATGGCCAGTGTGGTTTCCATTTTCAGAAAAGGGAGGAAGGAGGACCCAGGAAACTACAGTTTTACCTCGATCCTGGGTAAGCTTTTTGAGAGAATTATCCTGGTGCATGTCCGCGAGGGGCAGCAGGGGAGGTTATGCTTAGGGGCAACCAACATGGGTTCATTAGAGGCAGGTCCTGTCAGACCAACCTGGTGAGGACAACTACACAGTCAAACGGGTCACTAGTGGGCTGGAGGGCCGCACCCAGAGAGTGGTGGTGGACAGGTCTTATTCAACCTGGAGGGATGTGGGCAGTGGGGTTCTGCAGGGCACGGTCCTCCTCAGGCCTGCACTGTTCAACATCTTCATCAGCAACTGGGGGGGGGTGTAAAAAGCACCCAGTTCAAATTTGCTGAAGATAAGATGTGGGGGGAAGTGGGCACGCTAGAAGGGAAGAATAGGCTGCAATCGGACCTAGACAGGTTACAGGGGGGGGCGGATGAGAACAGGATGGGTTTCAACACTGACAAATGCAAGGAATTGCACCTGGGGGGGGAAGAACGAGCAGCATACCTACAGGCTGGGGAACTCCCTTCTCATCAGTACAGAGGCAGAAAAGGATCTTGGAGTCATTACTGTTACCAAAATGAACATGGGCCGACAGTGTGGGGACATAGTCAGGAAGGCCAACCGTACCTTGTGATGCATCCACAGATGCATCTCAAGCAGGTCCGAGGAGGTGATCCTCCCCCTTTCTGTGACACCGGTCAGGCCGCAGTTGGGAGTACTGCGCCCAGCTCTGGGCGCCACACTTCAGGAGGGATGTGGACAACATGGAGAGGGGTCCAGAGGAGGGCCACTCGCATGATCAGGGGTCAGCAGGGCAGGCCCTATGTGGAGAGGCTATGGGACCTGAACCTGTTCAGCCTCCACAAGAGAAGGCTGAGGGGGGGAATCTAGTGGACATTTAACAAACTAGTCAGGGGGGACCAGCAGGCATTGGGAGAGTCCCTGTTCCCCCATGGACTACCAGGAGTGACAAGAAATAACGGTCACAAGCTGGCAGAGTAGATTTAGGCTAGACATCAGGAGGCACTACTTCACTGTCAGGGCGGCTAGGATCTGGAACCAACTTCCCAGAGAAGTGGTGCTGGCTCCTACCCTGGGGGTCTTTAAGAGGAGGCTGGATGAACACCTTGCTGGGGTCGTTTGACCCCAGTACTCTTTCCTGCCATGGCAGGGGGTCAGACTTGATCTGCTCAGGTCCCTTCCGACCCTACCAACTATGAAACTGTGAAACCATAAAAGACTAACAATGCAATATTAACTTTATCATCAAAATATTTAAAAACGTGTTATTCCATTTACCTGCCAAACCCCAAATTGTAATTTTACTTATTTCAGTAAAATGGTCATTAAAGTTCCCTACAATGTATAGCAACAGTAAAGGGAAATAGAATTCAAGTCAAATCTCAGCAATTCATTATAAAGTAACTAAATAACATTTTTTTTTTTTTTTTTTAAAGAAAAAGTATATCAGAAATTAGCATTGACTGAGTCAGTACAGGCAAAGTCTATTTTAATGTCATCACTATCATTACTAGAATTATATTTCAGTTGCTGTACTACCTGGGCATCAAATGTGCGTCCAGAATGACACAGGTTATTAGGGTCACAGAGTATAAATCCTGGAAGAATCTCTTCTTCTTCAATTCCTTTCAGTCTGATCTTCAGATTTTCACCTGGGGCTACTGAATCAGTTTCTACATCATCAGAAAGGATTCCAAGAACTTCCACGTTGTGCTTAAAGAAAGCAAGATTGGAGTTTGCTGATATGAAACATTTAATGCACTTATTAACAACAAAAATCACTCATACAAGTATATATTAGAGCTATACAAGCTGTTAGATACTTTGGTTTACAAGACTGGTTTGTAATATAACAATAAGCGTGATGAACCTCACAACTGCATAAAAACAAACGAGCTTCCTTGCATCAGTCAACTATTAAAAATACACATACATCTAGCACATTTATACCCCACTATATTCTAATTGATACAATATTGTGGCATTAGTTCAGATTCCATCAATAGTAAGTTTCAAAAGGGTTTCACCAAGCCAGACAGCCACTTCTTTCTCTATAAATTGTTGCTGAAAGCATGAATCCAAAGCAATACATAATTTTCATCCGTTTTGTGGCATGTACGCCACTCATATAGAATGTAACATCTGCATAAATCTTAGTTTGAACATTACCATGGCAAAAGCTTTAAAAAGGCAGAGAAAGCCAATTTTCCAAAGGCCAAGAGAAATCCATAACGCTAAGCAAGGTTTAACACATGGCTATTAAAGTACATTTTTAGATGCTGATCAAGTCATTTACTCTAAAACAAGCTAGTTATGGCCCTTAAAACACTTTTAAATATGAAGGTGAAGATCTGCTATACCTTGTTTGGCATCATCACAAGCTGTTGTCCTTTGCAAATTGAGCCTGATTCCAGCTTTCCCAGGACCACAGTGCCCATATCCTTTTTTATAAAGATTAGAAAAATTTACACCATTAAAAAGTTGCTTTCCTTAATGGACTTCTCTATTTTTCTACTTAATCATAAACAGAGTCAATTCAAATAAATCAAATGAGTTAAAACTACTGCATTTAAGGCTCCCTCTACATGTGCAGGTAAAGGCACAATGGGATTTAATGTGTGATCCACACAATCATGCTTCTTGCTATGCCACATGCAAGGTAGGAGGTCTGACTGTGGGATCATGAATTAGATTCCATCATGCCTTATTGCCAGGCTCCCTCTGCACCAGCAAGAAGTTCCCATGGCTGAGGATGGGCTCTGTTGAGGGAATTCCGATTGCATGGGTCCCCCGTGCACCCCTGAGCTTGGAGAATCACAGTTGCCACAATCCCCCCAGGCTCAGGGATGCATGAAACCTCCAGGCCTGGGGCATCACAGCTACTGCAATCCCCCAGGCTCAGGGGTTTCACATACCCCCAGGGCAGCCACAAACCCTGGCTCCTGGTCCTGCTACCCCAAATCCAAAGCTGTGGGATTCTGGGTCCCTGTGCGGCCAGAACCCAGGGCTGGCAGCTTCTATGGCTGAGTCCCCATCAGTTGCAGGACTTGGCTGGGCAAGGTGCATCCCTGCAGCTGACAAGGCTCCCAGCCGCAAGGGAGACCTCTGTTATATGTGCAAATAAAACTCGCTAGCAACCAGCTATAAAGTTAGTGCACATTTTCGAGGTCTAACTTTATAGCTAGTTGGAGCTTTTTATAGGTGTGATAACTACTTTGCACATGTAGCTGGTCTCAAGTTAACTGTGCAATTAGCCAGGTAATTGTGCACTACCTGTAATGTGTAGAGGGTGCCCAAGTTACTACCTTCCAGTAGGAGAAGCCTCTAAAGCAATATTAAAACAGAGATTGTTAAAATAAAACATCTCTTCCTTTCAGTCAGTTCTGTAGTTCTAATTAATTAATTAAAACAGAACGACAGGTATGCTTAACTGCTGCCTCTACCTCCCAAAACCCTACCCAGAAAAGAAAAGAAAACAAACCAGTGAAATGCATGGTCCATCTAGTTATGGAGAACAGAACTAACTGAATTCTAGTATTTTTACTTTTACCTTGTATTTATCGACAATTGGCAGCCTGATTGGTCCATCAACTGAGCGGTTGAAGTTTGGCAAATTATCCAGATATGGAATAAATGGTAATCCTCTAGAAAAGTAAAGGCATTCATTTAGATATATTCATGTGGTTTAAAACTAAGAAAAAGTTCAGCTTGATTCAATGACCCAAGGAAAAAGGCCCAACTAAAGAACTTAAAACAAAATCCTTAACACGACAAACATGCCCACCATTTACGTCCATGTTAGCATAACTCAAAAATGGTCCTGCAAAGTGTTAATATTGTTTGCATTCACAGCATGCAATTAAGCTCTCTCACTTTCATCTCTCAGTTTCATCTCACTTAAGTCTCTTCTGAAAGTGAGAGATTCATGAAGAAGAGAGATTCATCTCTCACTTTCTCTCTTGCTTAAGCGCTCTCACCTTGCACATGTAGCTGGTCTCAAGTTAAAACTGCCCTGGACTGCCTGACCCCCTGCGCCCTGTACTGAGCCGTAAGTGAAATCACAGGAGCTAAATAACTTTCTTAGAACTCCAACCATATCTACATGCAGCTAACTCTTCAGAGCTGTGCGACAAGTGACAGCAGAAGTCTTGTATAAAACTAGAGGTGCACTGATATATCGGTCTGATATCAGATCAGTATCGATTATAGACCAGTTCGTTATCTTGACAATCTTGCTAGGCAGGCTAAATCTGTTCCAGAAGTGTGGGCACAGAGAGCTACTTCTAAATGTGTTTTTATTAACATTGTTTAATTGCCCTGAACCATATTGGCAAACATAGTATTAAGTGGGGACTGGGCTTGTAGCCAATTACATTAAAGTTCTATATAAACTATTATTTACTCTAGCCACACATCCAACATGAAACTACTAGAAAACCCTGGAAGTAGCAGAGCATTTTCAGAACCTCAGAAGGCAAAGAAAATGTTATAGCTTGTCAATAGTTTTGCAATAAAATCTTTCTGCAGTTAACCAAATGCTTGTTTTATTCACTTATCAGACTGGTTTGTATTCCCTCTTGCCCTGATCATCTTCTTTCAAGCGTATACTAGCCAAAAATATTGGAAACGACTAAAATACATCAAGTTATATTTTTGCTTAACTTTACTGCAGCAATGTCTTTACAGAACTATTACCAACTCCCCAACTCGTTAGTAAACATTATGATACGTACATATACCAAGGACAGAAGTCCGATTGTTCTTTAAGATTTGCTCCAGTCAATCCTGAGCAGGGCATGAAGTGAATATCTTTTTTGGGATTGAAGCCAACTTTCTTTAAAAATGGCACCAGTTTTTCTTTACATTCTTCATATCTGTTAAAAAAATTGATAAGCATATCATCATTTATGCCATTTTAATAACAATAACTTTCAAATAGAAAAATAGTATACCAAGTCCTGAAACAAAATATATTAAAAAAATTCAGTGTAAAAAAGCAGTTAAGGGTGAATGTACATATAATTCCTTAAAATCCTCAAAACATTTTTTGGTGATGTTTATAAAAAACTCGATAGAGGTAGCAGCAGCTTGCAAGCTGAAATCCCTGCCTTGCCTGCAGACCAAAACTGTCCTAATATTTTCCCAATCTGCATTAATCTGTTGCCTCTTTTCTTAGAAGCTGTAAGCTAGTTTGGAGAAAGATTGTATTTCTGTCCTATGTGTTGTTCAAGTCATGGCACAATGGGGCCCTGGGTTCATAATCAGAACTTCTAGGCACCAGTGTAAAACAAAGTAACCCTGTCTGTTGCTTCATAGGATAACAGTTTATGTGAATCTCTTTATATCTGTTGAGGGAAGTGGAGATGCAGGGAGTGGGGAAAGGGCAGACAAGACATGGGGATACAAGGGGTAGGCTGCAGGGGGGAGTAGGGGATGGGGGCAAGTACAGGCAGGGGTGAAGGTACAGAGGGCAGGCACAGAGGAGCAGACAACGGGCCTGGCCCCTCACCCCCTATTCTACTGTTTAGGAAAGTATTCAGTTATAAAACAGACACTAAAATTAGTTATGATGAATAAGGAACCATAAATAAGAACTGAATAAAAACATAACAGATGTTTGAGCTCCATGTGGGGAGACACTCAGTTAGGTTCCTCCGAGAGCTGAAAACTGTGCCCTGGACTGCCTGTCCCCCTACGCCTTGTACTGAGCCATAAGTGAAGTCGCAGGGGCTAAATAACTTTCTTAGAACTCCAACCATGTCTACATTCAGCTAACTCTTCAGAGCCGTGAGACAAGTGACAGCAGAAATCTTGTATACAGCTAGAGGTGCACTGAGATATTGGTCTGATATTGGATCGGTACCGATGTAAAGAAATCTTGCTGTATCGAATATTGTCTGGATGGGGCTGATAATTTGGCGATAAATGCCTGTGCTGCATGCAGCTGCAGTGCAGTACTCAGGAAGCAAGGAGCACAGTCAGCAACATGGAGAGCTGCAGTTCCAGTTGGTAAGTCCACTGTGGTGGAAGGGGAGGGGGGAGGGAAGGGGCTTGGGCAGGGTAGATCAGTGCCTCCCGTGGTGAGGGAGGGGGCAGGCACTGCAGAGGTGGGGTGGTGGGCAGAGCTGTGGCGGAGGGGGGGGCGGCGCTGCAGCAGCTCCCGCCGCTGCTTGCATCCCAGGGGCGGGAGGGTATGCCCTGTGGATCTGTACAGGGTGGGACAGGCTGTGCAGGGCTCTTCTCGGCAGACACTGAGCTTGGACCAGGCGCTGGTGGCACTGGGTGGCTGGCGGCAGCGGCGCTAGGAGTAAAGCAGCAACAAAATTCGAGGTAGATGCAGTATCCTCCCAGAGCCACCGGCGCCCGCTCCGAGCCCAGCCCTCACCGAGAAGAGCCCCTCATAGCCCTGGCTGCAGCCCACCCTGCCCCATGCAGATCCGGGGGGCACACGCCCCACCATGCCCTCCTGGGGCACAAGCAGCAGCAGAAGCCACCTCCCCCTCCACAGGCCACAGCCCCTACCCCTGCCCCCTCCCTCACTGTGGGGGGGCATTGATCTGTGCCCCCCCCCAAGCCTCTTCCTTCCCCCCTCCACTTCCACCACACTGGACCTATCAGCTGGAGGCAGCTGTATCAGAAATCAGATTGGTAAAGCCGACGTGAAACACATTCCCCATCTCCATTTCCTCAAAGATTTTCTTCAGGGAGGGATAAGGTGGTCTAAATTTATTTCTAGACAAATCATGGCTTGTTTTTCAAACCACGGTATCTTCCTAATTCAGACTGCCTTCTCTAATGCTGGCTGATATCACAGCTAATACAGGTGCCCTGCTGTATAAGCATGCTTGTTATTTTTCTTACTCTTGCCCAATACTTTCTGTGCATCTGTGATACTTCCATTTTATCCCTTCTGTGAATTCTTGTCATGCTTTTTCTCTGTTGTCGAGCTGGGGGAACTTCCTGAAAAGCTAGTTCTCATGGATAGTAAGCACCATAACACCTTTTGACCCAAGTTGTTCCCGCTTCCACAGATTAGCATTAAAATGTAATTACTGACTACCGTCACTGGTCTGGGAGGGACTTAACAAAAGTCTAGTCAAGGAGGACTGTGCACAGAAGCATTAAAACACTTCATAATACTAACCAGAATTCTTAAGCTGTGCACATACAAATAATTTCCCAATCATGGTAGGAGATACTTTTTCACATGTGGCCAGAAGGCACTCAGGAGAGATTAGTGGTGCATCCTTTCCCT